AAGATGGTTAGTCATTTATATGATACGTGAAGGTAGCACAAGAGCCTTAGCTTCGTGACCTGGTGCCCGTGTTGGTTCAGGTCTTCTTCTAGGATTTGATGCATAGAGTCATGGCACCCGTTCATTCTCGGCACGACAGCCTTAGCTTCATGACCTGGTGCCCATGTTGTTTCAGGACTTCTTCTAGGATTTTGATGCATAGAGTCATGGCGCCCGTGTATTCTCGGGACTTCTTCTGGGTGGCCCGGGCCATGCATTGCAATGTACTTACGTAATATATGTATGCGATGATGAGAATGATAGCATTTGCGCAAAAATATTTAAAAGGTGTAAAGTTATTATGCATCCTGCAAAGATGATGGTAAAGTTTGAATAAAAGATAAGCTCTGCATTATATGAGAGGGTTATAGTTCAGATAGCTTGCGAAGGCTGTCATTTGAGGACCTGCACGGGTATGGATGTAACTAGTATTGAATATATAAGTAATCAGTTCCCTACAAAGGTTAGACAAAGTAACATTGGATTGATGCATATTAATATATTATGAATACTTTAAGGAAGGAATTGAACAACGCCACCTGCAAAAATGAGGGAAAGTGTTATCGTTAGAGGGCTCAAAGGTTTAGTCACTGCCGAAGGTGTAATGCTGATGGAAACCAACTAACTGACGAAGGCCACTGCTTGATAGAGTTTGCTCACTGTCGAAGGCCTATGACTGATGTAGGCTGCCTGAAACCAATAATATATGAAGTCCACTGATTGATGAACGAAGACCATGACTGACGGAGGCTCAAACTAACGAAGGCCAAAGGCTAACGAAGGTTATTGACTGGTGAAGGCCAATACGTGTCGAAGGCTGTGAAGAACCAATGATAAGGTGCACTGACATATAATGAAGACTAATAATCAGCGGAGGTTGTTGGCTATCAAATACCACTTACTGGAGAAGGCCATTTATAGATGAATATTCACTGACTCATAGAGGATCACTGAGTTATCTGATAAGTGTTGAATATTTCATGAGAACCACTGATTGGCGTAGGTTGTAGACTGATTCATATAATTGTTGGACAGATATGTGACGAAGGCTGAGTGCTTAATGAGAACCGTTGGCTGATGAGGAGTACTGAATGATTTGTCTTGAGGAGGTGCAAACACGCATATAACAAATGAAGTATATTCTAAGGGGGTTAGCTTGGGAGGATAAGAGATACTTACAGCGCTGGTGACCTGCATGTTATTGAAAAATAGATTCGACAATAGTTGAAAATTGTTTTAAGTTAGCTGGGTCGGGGCCAAGCATGTATAGCCACTCAGGCCAAGCTTTCGATGCGGCGAAGGCCACAACAAGTTTTTTAGTCACATTGGTGACAAGTTGTACATGAAGGTTGGTTTACGAAATTTGCCTCGAGGCCAAGGTTAGACCAAGAATGTGTAAAAATAAATGTCAAGGACGAAATTTGTTAGGATTATAAGCTGATGAAAAGTATTCTCTTATGCTATTTTGATACCTTTGGTGTTGTAGTCCAAGAATTCGAAGTTGCGAAAAGTTAAGCAACTTAGCCGCGGTTTGTGTCGGAGGTCAAATCCTTCGTTGCCAACAAGTTGGGCCGGCAGCTGCAGATAAAAATCAGTTGGCCCCCTTCACTTCTTGACGTGGTTGGAGTTGTTCCGGAGTTGTGGCGAAGGATGCAGCCTCCGTGCGGGCATGGTTGGTGTGGAGTCTGGGAGCGGAGGTCCGTGGCGGAGGCCCGCCTGGCTATACCTTTGCCCTTCTGCGTGCGTTCGGCCTTGGACCAATGCAGTGCCAAGGAATAAGCTGCGCATGCACACAGAGCACAAAAGCTTGCAAGGTAATCTGGTTAGCGTGCGGAGGTTCCGTATGTGGGGCTGCTTATTTAAGACCCATGTGCCCGTGAAGGACACGACAATCTCAATTCAAGAAGGTTATCTCATGTATATGTATATGTATATGAACTTTTTTTTGTACGAAGGCTAATATTAAGGTGGGCAACATACTTATCTTTGGGCAGTAGCATTGATTGGAGTTTTGCATGGTCATTCGAAGGCTCATGCTCAAAATAGATGGGCCAAACATGATATGAGCCGAAGCCAAAAACTGGCTAGAGTCATAGGCTGCCAAAGATATCTCCGTATACTGGTAGGAGAATGGAGAGTTGGAGAGACACATACACCAAGAGCCGAATATAAAAGCACAAATGGCGAGAGGTAAAGCCTGATGTGATAGCTCTGTCAGACTTGGTGGTTCGGAATGGGCGGTAGATCGAGGCCGGAGTTGTTCGGGAGTCGCGGCGAAGGATGCAGCCTCCGCGCGGGCACGGTCGATGCTGGGCCAGAGGTCGATCGCCAGCACCATCCCGGCAGCGGGCAAAGTATTGCCGTCCTCCTGCTTGGGTCTTCGCCCCTACGAGGGGAGGGCGAAACGGCGCGCCCACGCCGTCCGCGAGCGCCTTCCTCTGGTTACATGCACACACGTAGGTATCATTGGCACTTGATTAGCTTTGCAGTGGGGGCCTCCGCCCCCTCCGCCGAGGAGCTAGCTGCGGCGTCTCCGGCGGAAAAACGCGCCAGGTCTCCGGCGGCAGCCCCCGCAAGCACCGATCTTTGGAACCGTCATCCTGGTGGTGGGGCCTCCGCGCGCTGCATCATTAGTGTCGGCAGATGGTGGAGTCGACGAATCGAGGGCGTTTCTCCATGTCTTGCTGGCTGGAGGTGCATGTCATGTGCCTTCGCCTAAGTGCGATGCAGAGCCACGGTTTGGTGGCTCTGCGTGACCTCCGACAACATGCGCGCCTCTGGAGGAGCATTGAGTGCCAAGCTTTGCGGTGGTGCAACGTTGACATGTTATTCTGAGACCTTTCGTGCAAAGTTGCACATGCAGCTCTGCATGGTGTATGCGTTGGATCGCCAAGGATGCAAAGGTAGCATATATGTGATCCAAATCTCTCGAAGGCTTATATAGATTACGCACATCTTTTCATAAAAGCAGAGTAAAGGCATCATAGTGGCTAGCGGAGGTTGTATGATCAATCAACGAAGAGAAGATCTGGTTACGTAAATCCAGACTCATAAAACTTTTCTTTGGATTTTATGGGTTATTAGCAAAAATGGAAATAAGAGCAGAGTGCGGAGTTATCAAAAAATATAAAAATGTGAGCAAAGATGAAATCAGAGGGTAGTGCTGCTTTTATTTCTGAAGGCTTTCTAATTTTTGTAGAAACTTTTTTTTAAGTAGTAGCGGCCGAAGGCTTTAGGATTTCGGCTAAAAATTCTTCTTCTTTTCTTTGTTTTCTTCTCTCTTTTTTTTTGGGAAAAAGGTCCGTGAAGTTTTTAAGATCTCAGATAGTCTTTACGGAGGTGTAAGTATGTCGTACACTCATACCTTCGCCCAAAGGTTCTTACCATACCTTGAGGTTCACTGCCAGTCTGCTAATGAAGTCATCGCAACAAAGGCTAAGCCGAAGAAGGTTCGTCGACGAAGGCAGGTCGGAGAAGGTCCTCTGATGAAGGTCTAGCCAGAGAATGTCGGCGATGAAGGCCAGTGGCGACTGGCGAAGGACGGGCCAGAGAAGGCCTGCCGACGAAGGCTCCAACTTCTAGCTCTGCCAAAAATTTCGTGCCGAGCACGGTGGGCGCCACTGTTGAAACAACGGTTTCTAACAAGAGTGAGAAGTGGGCGGAGGCCTTCGTCTTAGGTTGGGGTCTCCGCCTAAGACGGGCGGAGGCCCCTGAACGCGGCGCACTCCTGTCGGACAAGATCATCCGTCAGAGGCTCCGGGTAGAAGGTCGCTAAATGAGGGATTCAGTAGGCTTTGGCAAAGTGGGAGTAAGAAAGGGGCGGAGGCCTTCGACTTTGGCCGAGGCTTCAGACTCTGGCTTCGGCAGAGGCACTGCCTGAAAGAGAGAATGAGGATCAAATACCGACTCACAAGAACTAGGGTTTCATTCATTCATTCACCAGCCCCCTGTACAGTTACAAGTGTTCCCTATTTATAGGGCTCAACTACCACTTTACAGAGTTTACAACAGTGCCCCTCAACTGCTACGGTACATTCCAGGAATATTCCAGCCCTAGTGTCTAACCTCAGGGGTGTTCTCATCACACCGTCTCACGATGTCTTCACCTTGGGCCTAAGCCGACGCCCACCGGAGGCCCATCAACTGTCCTCACGTATGCCTTGCTGACTTGATCGTCCCGCACCTTGATGGGCCTCCAACGCCTCAGGGAACACCTTCGCCACGATCACTGCACTATGCATCCGCTGTCCCGGGGAGAGCCTCCGCCGTCCCAGGGAGAAACTCATCGTCATTCTTGTACTAGTCATCCGCCATCTTGGGGAGAGCCTCTGCCATCTCGGGGAGAACCTCCGCCATTATCCTTGCACTAGGCCTCCGCCGTCTTGGGGAGAGCCTCCGCCATCTCGGGGAGAACCTCCGCCATTGTTCCTGTGCTGGGCCTCCGCCGTCTTGGGGAGAGCCTCTGGCGTTTTGGATAGAGCCTCCGCCGTTTTAGGGACAGCCTCCGCCATTATTCCTTCATCAGGCCTCTTCGAGGGAGAGTTGGCCCATACTCCGTATGGGCTCCCCCAACACATATAGCGTTTTGTAAGAAAACAATGAAAAATATAAGTACTTGATTGACAATCATAAAATATGTTGGGCGCAAATGTATTTCAAAGGTTTTAGGAGTCCAGAAAACTTTACAACATATAATATTATAACGTAATTCATGAAATTCAATTGTCCAATTTTCCAAAAAACAAACTTTAAAACATAATATAAGTATATAATAACTAGATTGTCAATATTATAGCTAAAATCGAAGTAGTGCGCTATTTCAAAGCTAAAACTATGCAATTTAGCGGCACTAAAGTGCAATATAGTGGTCTTAGCTGACATAGCAGCAAAAAGAGCAATAGGTGTGGTCTGTCTCCAGTAGCTAGGCGCTATAGCCTGCTATGTAAAACCATGATCTCATATCACCTTGCGAGTTCTGTACTCAGTGCGGTAACATTAGAAAGTCCCGTAGTTTCGCCCTCAGTAGCGGTGCAGCTATACCTGCCATCCTCAACCTCGAGAGCCGCTCGCGCCTCAGCGCTTTCCGGCATTTCATACGAAAATCGCCGAAGCTCCACGGCGACCTGTCCCATGGCCGGCCTTGCATTGCCTGGAGCAGCGATGCATCGGGTCACTAGCTTCGCAGCCGCATAGATCAGTTCCATTCTCCCTTCCTCGACTATGTCAGCATCTAGAAGCTCACCAAGGGTGCCATTTCCCATCCTGTCCTCAAACGTTGTGGTCAGGTTCTTCCACTCTTTGGCCTGCGGGTTCTTACCAGTCAAGAGCTCAATCAGGACGACCCCGAAGCTGTAGATGTCGGTCTTCTCGGTTATCTGGAAATCCTGCAGAAACTCAGGGTCAAGGTAGGCCAGCGTGCCCTTGGGCACCACCTGCACGTTGTCGTTGATAGTTGAGCACCCAAAGTCGGACACCTTGGCGACCCATTTGTCGCCGAGCAGAATGTTCTGCGGCTTGACGTCGCCGTGGAGCGTCCGGTGCGGCTCCGAGTGCAGGTGCGCGAGGGCCTCCGCGGTTTCCGCGGCGATCCTCAGCCGGGTCGGCAACGTCACCCGGCGCCGAGGCCTGCCATGAATTAGATCACTCAGGGTCCCGTGGGCACGAACTCGTACAGGAGCATGGGCGCCTCGAAACATCTTGGGTGGTTGACGCGGCAGAGCACGACCAGCTCCTGGACGAACTCATCCGTCCGGCTCTTCTCGATCTGCTTGCATCGCTTCACCGCGACAGTGTCAGTGCCGAGGGTGGCCTTGTAGACGGTGCCATGTGCCCCTTCCCCGACGATGTAGGCCTTGTGGAAGCCATGTGTGGCCTTCACTAGGTCTCCCCTTTCGTATAACTTGAAGGTCTTGTTGCCTTCTGTTTCGAGAATTCGCGACAGCATCCGGCCTCCGTGCTGCTCAAAGTACCTTTGTCTTTTCTTCTCCTTATTGAGGAAAACTTGGTTTAAAAGAATAGCAATCAGCAGGGCAACAAAAAATGCGACCGAAATTCCTGGAGAGATATGGTAATCAGAAATTAATAATGTATTCCAAGATCAGCTGTCTGTGGAGAATGTATAGATACTGATAGTACGGTCAACAATCTATCAATAGAACCATATAATTGCTAGCAATGGTCACTAGAAGAGACGGGGTTTTTATGATAGTTTTAATTGTTGAATATATTTTTATAATAAACTTATTTATTATAGAGATATAAATGTTGTCAATATTTTCTACAAATTTAATAAAACTAATAGTTTGACCAACACGACCTATAGTGACACTCTTTTGGGACTGTGGAAGTCATTGAAAGTAGTAGGATTTGTATAAAGAAATGATTACATATACACAACCTTTGTAGGGGCGGCTCCAGGGCATTCGTAGGGGCGGTTTGCCCAGCCGCCCCTACTCAGGCTTGGCTACAAATCAATGATTTGTAGAAGTGATTCCTTAACCGCCTCTACAAATTGATTTGTAGGGACGGCTGGATATAAAGCCGTCCCTAAAAAAAAGAAGCATTTCTATAAATTTTTTTTGTAGTAGTGTCTAAAAGTCTAATGATGCAATTGAGCAAGTTAATTCTTTAGTTATTACCAGAAACATCGAGTAAATTGTGGTCCGACTCCCTATGTTCTAGTAGCATTAACGTAAATCTGAAGGCCTCAATGTGCTTCTGCACCTTTGAAATACCGTTAGACTTTAAGGGTATTATGTGTCTCTTTTATTTTTGGTAAAGAAAATTCTACAGCAAGCCAAACTGAGCTCAACATGTGAACCTGCAAGTTCCATAAATAAAAATAAAAATGCGTTGCCACTTAAGAATAAGAAAATGCTGGATCGTACCAGTGGCTACCCGTGCTCCGAGAGGGAAGGGATCTTTGTGGCATTCTGCATTAGATGCATTTCCTCGGCTACCCTAGGACAATCACAAGCGAATGAACCATATGTATTCGTGCACACTCCATGGCATGGGTATTTTTTACCGTCAAGGGACTCATCAATTAATATCTGCAATAAAACATCCAGTTATTAAACATAACATGTATATGTCCAAAAGCATGCCATATATAATATTTTCATTAGATCTCCCGTAGGCTGAGTTTCAAGAAGGTTCAGAGTTAAGTAAATGCATCTAAATAAAGGATCATAGTGTAGGCCTGGTATATGCATGTACCCTATAATAATGTGGCATGCATAGAGGAAACTGATAAAACCGGCCTGTAAGTACTAAGCATATCATTGAGCTAATCTCATATATTACCTCTGTTCAGAATGCAATATTCTAGGTGCATTTTTTTTATTAAAATACCTAAATTTTGATCAAATATATAGAAAAATATTAACATTTATGACACCAAATTATTTGTTATGAAAATATATCTCATAATAAATATTTATATTTTTATATAGTCAGTCAAACTCAAGGTACTTTAATTTGATGCCATGCTAGAATTGTATTTTTTTCTAAATGGAGGAAATATTTATATGCATTTCCTTGAATGTTTCCTACAACTGCCATGGTAATGATATATTTTTTGAAGGTATCTTTGTGGTAGTGGCTATAACTTAATATCATAATTAACAAGGATGTGTCTCCAGCTAGTGAATAAGGGAGTAGTATCTGATGTAACTGAGTAGTGAATAAGTTAAATGTGTCTCAAATTTATAACTACAAACTACACAAAGTTATAATTGAGTAGTAACTCATGCTGTAACTGTGTCTTTTATTTTGTTGCAGTTGTTTTTTCAAGACAATGTAATTGTTTGTCTTAAGAAAGTTAATTGACAACTATAAACTACACTAAAATATAACTAAGTACAACTACAAACTATGGGTGATGCGCGTGCATCTGGAAAACTCAACTAGCTCTTAGCTTTGAGAAACTTTATAAAGCTTACTCTTTAAATCATCGTTGGGAGAGTCATTTACATAATAATCGCTTTCTATATCTTTCCGCTCTCTAAAAATTTTTCTATACCATGTGTCTACTCTAGAGAGTCATTTTCGTTTTCTATATTTGGCTAGCGTGAAATCCAAAATAGAAAATTCTCTAGGTATATTGGGATAACAAATAAAGACCTTTAGGAGGGTATTTCTTTCATCAAACCTCTATTTTTAGCAATTAGTAAGGATATGAAGAGTCTCTTCGAGTTGCTCTTAGTCGAATTTGCGAGCGTGCCCCTGAAGACCACGAAAAGTGGGCGATTGAGTCGGACAAGTTTGCTGGTCGATATTTGACGGGTCGTTTAAGGCGTGCTCCCAGCTGGAACTATGGAGCTGGGTACTCGACGACAGGTAATCTGGTGTCACTCGTTCATCTCGATTGTAGCTCGACGAGGGGTAAACGTTGCTGCCCAGGATGCAAGGCGTTTATTACTCAAACGATGGCGCTAGCGGAGGCATCATCCAAACAATATTATACTCGATGTATGAAACTAGCAGGTCCAGAGCTATCAGACTCTCTAGAGTATATCTCAACAATATATAATTGTTATGTGCCAAGTTGTATATCTAATCCGTGTACGATGCGCGTGTAGGGTTATATTCTATCAATTGTACAGAGAAGCTCTGATTGACGGGAAGTCGTCATCCATAACTGTCTGCAGGCAAATGTGATGCAGATTATTACATTTTTGGTGGTCGTTTCCATCATTGTCATTAGATGGACGGAGGACGGTGCACCAAGCATTCCATGAACTACTGTAACAAACACAGAAAATACATATAACAGGACGCGACTGTGCCAAATAATGACACAATTAACGTAGGCTTTAGCAATAAACTCTCCGTTCCAAATCATCGGGCGAGTTCTGTGCTCACTGCAGGAAGATTAGAAAATCCAGTAGTTTCACCCTCAGTAGCAGTGTAGCTATACCTGCCATCCTCAACCTCGAGAGCCGCTCGCGCCTCAGGGGCTTTCCGGCATTTCATCCGAAAGTTGCCGAAGCTCCACAGCGACCTGTCCCATGGCCGGCCTTGCATTACCCGGAGCAGCGATGCATCGGCTCACTAGCTTGGCAGCTGCATATATCAGTCCCATGCTCCCTTCGTCGACTATGTCAGCGTCTAGAAGATCACCAAGGGTGCCATTTCCCATCCTGTCCTGAAACGTTGTGGTCAGGTTCTTCCATTCTTTGGCCTGTGGGTTCTTACCAGTCAAGAGCTCAATCAGCACGACCCCGAAGCTGTAGACGTCGGTCTTCTCGGTTATCTGGAACACTACGTCAGGTATGGTTTTTAGGGGCGGCTAATAAGCATTTGTAGGGGCGGTTCGGCCAACCGCCCCTACGCAAGGGTCTCTACAAATCATGTATTTGTAGGGGCGGTTCTCAGTCCGCCCCTACAAATCGATTTGTAGGGGCGGCTGATACTGTAGCCGCCCCTACAAATCGATTTATAGGGGCGGTTTAGAAACACCAGCCGCCTCTACAAATCGATTTGTAGGGGCGGCTACAGTACAAACCGCCCCTACAAATCAATTTTTCGCCAAAAAAAATTAAATTTACAATTCAAATTCGATCAGAACATTTATTTATACCAGATTATAACAAATATTCTATGACAATACACGGTGCAAATTATTGTGCTTGCTGTTCATTTAAACTATGAGACTGCACATAGATATATGAAAAGTAGTGCCTAGCCGTGTTTGATTTATGTTCTTAATACCCATTCAACATTCACGAACTGAACATGCATGGTTGGACAGTTGAAGCTTCAGTAATTCGGTGCTGGCTGCTGAGTTGGCAGAAGTCCAAATCTCTTCTTCAATAGGAACCGCTGGCGAGAGTACTTGTCATCTGGTGAGAAGCGAGCTGCACCACAAGGAAATATTTTAGTAAATCATGATGCGAGGTCCATGGTCACCCAAATTATTAAACAATCAAAATCACAAATGCAACCATAAAAAATAATGAATTCCACATGTTTCAGTTCTGCAGGTTACATCTTTGTTTGGTCCTATACATCCACAATGCAAGTGTTCGCCTCAGGTAAAGTACGATAGCTTCTATCTCTCTACAGTCTATTTACATCTAGTCCAATATGATACAACAGAATGATGCTTTAACCTGGCAAACAGTGCTCATGGTAAAGCCATTCATGATTGACTAGAACTCTAGATTATGCGAATGCCTAGTGAGTTCATATTGATCATATAAAGCACAGGGAATTGTCACAGGAAAAGAAAGAATGATCTGTAGCTTTGATAGGTACCGGTACTCTTAACTCCATTCTTAAAAGTTGCGCAAGCAATTTTTTATTTGTCTGCTCAAAATATCCAGAATCTAAACGCAGAAGAAATTGAAGATACAACATACTATTGGATGAATGACACAAATCGGTTAGGGGGTCTAGAAACATGCCAACTGCTCATAATTAGACAACCATGACTCTGCATCCTTATAGCCAACAAAAGAAAACTATCCAACTATCATATCTTGACAGGCAAGTTATAACAGAAGCAGCAAAGGTAACTCCAGTGAACAAAGGCAGTGTACCTGGGTGAGCAGGCTGCGTCGGCACCCCAAGAGGCGACTCCTTCTGCAAAGCAAGAACACAGACACCCAAATTAGCAGAGGCTAACAAGTAACACCCAAAATCATCAGCCATTCAGAGAAACTTAAGTGCAAGCTCATACACAAACCTTGGTGGTGTAGACCTTGTCCCCTTTCTCGTTGATGTAGTACTGGAGATACATCTTGATTCAGCGCAGAGGAATGATACCTAATAAATCCAACGAGAATAAAGAGGAATTACTCCCAATAATAACAAGAATCGCAGCAAACAAAAGCAGGAGACCCTGCAGAGGGGGTACTGAAGTTTTTTTTATCCAGTCTGGTACTAGTATTAACTATTAGATGCAATGACGTACAAAGAACAGGACAAACACATAGTGCTTAGTGCTTACACAAGGATGCAAAACAAAGATGAATCATATTCCTATCGCTGGACACGGTCATGAACAGCAATAGGACTGAGAAAGAAAGAAGCAGCAACCACCAAACCAGATCACAACAGGCACCTCTGCATGAAATCCTTGCGTTTTCTTATACAATCCTAACTACAAAGAAATTTCTCTAATATTCCCAAATTGCTACTCTCTTATCGTTTGGTCCATGAACAAACTACATCTCACCGTAGAAACTTCCATCAATTTTCCAATCATTATCAGGGCCCCTAAAATCTCACCGAAACAATCATCCTTACTTGAACAAGGACTTGTGAACCTTACTTGCTTTCAATACAAGCAGAGGCAAAAGAATACGCAACAACGGGGCCGCCCAGAAGCCAGCTGCAGCCGGCCGTGCAATGGCGGCAAGAGTCTAGCCAAGACCAAAGCAACGGCACAAAACTCCCCAATAGGATCCACCGATCCATGGACGGAGGCGCAAACCCCATCGAATCCCGCTTCACAAGCCACGCCTATGATGTCTCAGCCTCACAACGCGCATATCAACTGTACCAGGCACAAAGGATAACTGAGAGACTTACCAGAGCTTGGAAGACGGATCAACAGTTCAGCTTTAGCACGATACTGGCGGCTAGGGTTTACGGAGGAGACCGGGAGAGGGTATAAAGATGCCACGGGGGACACCACCACCCTAGATCCGTCGCCGGATGACAGGCGCACCGAAAGGATCTGAAATCTGAATTGGCACATGGAAAATCTAAAACGCTTGAATGTCATCAAGGTTCAGGGGAAGAAGAGGGAAGTAGATTTCATTTTTCTCACCCCGCATCTTCCTGACAAAGAGCTTGGAGGCCTTGAGCACCTCCACGCAGATGGAGACGTCGGCAGCTTCTACAAGGTCGCAAAGCTCCTACGCAGCGAACTCGACCGGCACCCCAAAGGCAGCCATGAAGAGAGCGAGGCCGTGGGCGCCCGCAGCGCCGACCGCATCGCCGACCCTGCCGCCGCTGACGCGTAGGAGGCGGCGCGCTGCGCCCCGTCAGCGTGGCTTCGCGGGCCTCCTGCCGCAGCAGCAGCTCCGCCCCTCCCTCCCCTGTCCCCGGAGGCGCGGGCACCCGGCGCGCACATAGAGCTCGAGGAGGAGCGTGCAGGCGGCCTCCACGTCGGGGCTCTCGGCGCGGATGTAGTAGCGGCCCACGGATCTAAGCGCCGTTGGGTGAGAGAGATAGAGAGCGAGTGAGAGAGAGTGCGGCGTCGGATGGATAAGTGAGAATGAAACCCTAGGGTTTCGGATGTCCGACGGGTAGTTTTGTCGCTGGTTGGACGAACTTCAGCCGTTCGATTCAGATCGAGGGATTAGATCGTTGATAGGCTTAACATGCCTGCGGGTTTCAGTGCCCTACCAGCAAAAGTGAGGCCCAAGCCCAGGTTTGGGTTCCGGCGGCAGCATTTGTAGGGGCGGCTGGTGATTGAGCCGCCCCTACAAATCAGACCTATTTGTAGGGGCGGCTCGTATCACCAGCCGCCCCTGCTGTTTCATTTGTAGGGGCGGCTGGTCTCTGGGCTCCCGAGCACGTCACTGTAGGGGCGGTTTCATCACCAACCGTCCCTACAAAAAAATTGTCCCGTTGCTACAAACCGTTTTTCACGTAGTGGAAGTCCTGTAGAAACTCAGGGTCAAGGTAGGCCAGCGTGCCCTTGGGCACCACCTGCACGTTGTCGTTGATAGTTGAGCACCCAAAGTCGGACACCTTAGCGACCCATCCGTCGCCGAGCAGAATGTTCTGCGGCTTGACGTCGCCGTGGAGCGTCGGGTGCGGCGGCGAGTGCAGGTGCTTCAGGGCCTCCGCGGTCTCCGCGGCGATCCTCAGCCGGGTTGGCAGCGTCACTACCCGGCGCCGAGGCCTGCCGTGGAGCAGATCGCTCAGGGTCCCGTTGGGCACGAACTCGTACACGAGCATGGGCACCACGAAATGGAGGCAGCAGCCGAGGAGCCTGACGATGTTTGGGTGGTTGACGCGGCAGAGCACGACCAGCTCCTGGACGAACTCATCCGTCCGGCTCTTCTCGATCTGCTTGCATCGCTTCACCACGACAGTGTCAGTGCCGAGGGTGGCCTTGTAGACGGTGCCATGTGCTCCTTCCCCGACGATGTTGGCCTTGTGAAAGCCACGTGTGGCCTTCACTAGGTCTCCTCTGTCGTATAAGGTGAAGGCGATGTTGTTGTCATCTGTTTCGAGAATTCGCAACAGCATGCGGCCTCCGTGTTGCTCAAAGTAGCCTTGTCTTTTCTTGCTCGCCTTGTGGCGGAAAACTTCGGTGGAAAGAAAAGCAATCAGGGCAACCAAAAGTCCGGCCAAAATTCCTGGAGAGATATGGTAATCGGAAATTAATTAATAATGTATCCATGTTCAGTTGACAGAGAAAAAGCATTATGTAGACACTATAGAAACTATATATGTTGAACAATCTATCAAAATTACTACTCCCTCTATTCGAAATTGTAAATCGTTTTGTCTTCTCTAGATTCATAGCTTTACTATATATGTGTCTACAAATAATGTATATATTTAGATGCATAGCAAAAACCATGTATGTAAAAGAACCAAAACGACTTATAATTCGTAATGGAGAGAGTATATAATTGCTAGCTATGGTCACTAGCTATATTGTCTATAATCGAGTCATTAGCAGAGTAGAAATGCTGCAATTGTTGCATCTTATTGTTACGACATGTGTTTTTTTAGGTAGACAGTTCTTTTGATTCTATATATAGGCTAATTTTGGCTTAGTAATAAAAAATGGTGTGTTGAATATTATTAATTCTCCTGCTTTGTAACAAATTTCCTGCTATGGCTCCGAATTGAATAATATTGTGCCAGGAGCCCAAAAATGAGTCTCTGGTAAGGATTATTTCAGAGATCAGGAGGAGGGGTTGTATGGTGCATTGGCTACCACAATCTGAAGGATACACTAATTATATTTACCTTGCTTTGCAGGCACTAGTGGCACATAGCAAGAGCATAACTAGCTCATTTTTGTTATGTAAGTTTGTAGATATCAGTGCCTTATCATGTAATAAAATGGCAGCCTATGTTAGTACATCAATTTACACACTTGATATGTTAGCGTGGATTGTTATTGTTAAAAGTACACTTTTTGTGGATATGATGTATGGATTTAATGATTATATATGTATGGTGTGTTCAGTAAGCTATTGAGGTCCATCTGAATTAACAAATATATTGTGAAAACCTAAAGACCATTCCATCACCGTCGGTTATGCATAGAACCACCATTTATCGTATGCTCATCACCGCCGCATCATACCACTCACCGTTGGTCACAAAACTTCTCGTCACCGTCGGACTGTACCACGATGGTGAACCAATCATCAACGCAACAGGTGTAACATACGATGGGGTGGGGATCAAAACACCATCACCGCCAAGTCATTTAGTAAACCGACACCAATTATAGGATCATCACAGGCGTATTGTACTCCAAAGTGACGATGATCATGACCTCGACACAGACGGATCGTCCGCCAAAGCGATGGTGAACTTGACCAGGACACAGACTGCTCATGCATCAAGGCAATGGTGATCATGACCTGTACACTGACGGAGTATACGCCAATGCAGTGGTGTTAGCATCATATCACAGCTGGTTATGAACCGGCGGTGATGACCTTGATCATCATCGTCAACAATTCACTGCCTAGGCCAAAAATTGGCGGTGATGGGGGTTTTCGAAACAACTGTGATCAGCCTGCTATAGTAGTGGAGAATTAGAAGCTAGAGCTAAAAATTAGGGAGTGAAGTTGTACAAAATAGACATATATATATACTGCTCCTCTTAAATTAACTCTCGGGCTAAGAACTTGTCTTAGATTAAATCCACTTCTAGAGCTTAACTGTGTCACATTTATTTTTCCTCAAAGGCACTAGAGCGCACTCTTGGAAGTCAAACCCACATTCACTAGCACAAAACCAATTTTAGGAGACATGCCATTTTATTTATTGAGGCCTCGTTCGGTTAGAGCAAAATGAGGCTAGGATTCCTTCCAGGAAGTTAAGCCTTATATAAATTAGCTAACAGTTCCGGCCAGGAATCCTTCCGTGCAGTCATTCCCGGCGAAACGAACGGCCCCTGAGGGAGACCAACCATTTTTTGAGGGACCTCACCTTTGTAAATCAATTAATGTAGTTGGGAGAGGTCTGCCTCTAAGAATGGAAGTCATTTTCCAAGGCAGAACTCTGAAGAGAGCTTTTGTCAATTGAGGTGTAGCCCAACAACCCATTTTAACTCCTCAGATATATAAGGAAGGATAGAGAACCCTACCTCGATAGTCCATCTCCCCCATAGTCGCCATCCATCTTCTCCCCCACAGTCGACATCCCTCCCTCTTCTTCTTCTTCTTCCCCACAACACCCACCCTCCCTCTTCTCTCCGCTTGCAAGGTGTGGCATGGCAGAGTGTGCGAGGAGCAAGGCATGGCCTTGGTGTGCGGGGGAGCAGGGAGTCGCCAAGCGTAGAAGCGTGACCTGGGAGTGGCTGAGACGCGAGGCACGGTGGCGCAAACAACCAAGGGTTAAGGAAGATCCAGAAGGCCCATGCAGCGTGGCCAGCCCTTTCTCTCGCCACCATGATCCGACGGGGGTGGCCAAGGGCAGATCTAGTGGAGGGCCCTTTCTCTCACCACCCTCTTATCAGCGACGGCCCAGCTGGGTTGTGGACCGAAGGCATTTCGATGACGTGCAGTTGTCCCTTCGCCTCCATGTGGTTGCCGACCCTCTCTTTCCTGGTGGCCACCAATCGAGATTTCGAGTCTCGTGGATGAGATCTACCTCGAGGTGGGCGGAGCACCTCAATGAGGGCGGTGAGGAAGCAACATAGATGTGGTACACCCTAGCTAGGATTCATCTTTGTGTCCAAACATCTCCCTGTCCTCACCGAGTTTGAATCTAGGTGGATCGGCATGGCAACGCGGCATGGTTTCTTGGTGTGGATCAAGATAGGTTCGCATGGTGGCACGGCATGGTAGCTTGCTAGATCTAGGTGGGTTGACGTGGCTGTGTGGCTTGGCAGCTCACTGATTCGGCGAGGTTTAGGCGGATCCTGCGATACACGAGGATGAGACAAATCCTGCAAGATCTTGGCATCATACTCGGTGATGAAGATGGTGGACCTCCACGGTGGGCTTAGTGGGCTCGGACAACACGCTAACTAGGCTGTCAGCTTATTTTATTTGCCAAATTCATTTTCAGAGACCCACAAGTTCCCTACCAATGAAAATCTTGATTAACATAGGCGCCTTGCTAGAGGCAGGTTATATTAACATGTGCCTTTGAAAAATGTGTTCATAGTAGTGATTAACTCATGGAGCAAATAATGGGGTTCAATTGAGTGGAGTAGTAAATTTTAATAGGCAAAACCGATTATCTTGGAACTAAAAGAAGGAACTAAAGACTGATGAAGGGTACTGTAGTTTTTGTTTTTCTGTGGCACCAATCTGTTTTAAACTTTATAGAAAATGATTTAATCGGGCACAGGAGGTTATATATTATATTAAAAACAAACAAGATGTAGCGCATACCTTGAAAGCTTTAATGCAATCATGACCAAAGTGGAAGCTTTCATGCAATAATGACCAAAGTGAAAGCTTTATAAATAAAAAAAGTTAAGTAAAATTATTTGAAAGATTGGGGAATAATGAAATAAAAAGTATGGAGCCAGGCCAAACAGGGCTGACCATATGGAGTTGCTTTACAAAACTGTTAGAGAGGATTTTTCCTCTTTTTGCAAGAAAACAAACTAAATTAGAGTGTTGTTTTACAAAAATTATAGAGATGCTCTTAATAAAAATATATAATATAATAATTCTAAAATACCATTGGAGGTAGTAGGACTTGTATAAAGAAATGATGACATACAAAGTCTAGCTGTGCAATTGAGCAAGTTAATTCTTTAATTAGGTGTTATTACATCGAGTGAATTGTGGTCCGACTCCCTATGTGTAGCAGCAACGCACTAAATCTGAAGGCCTGAATGTGCTTCTACAACTTCGAAGTACCGGTGAAACAAATTTGGGATCCCCAAAAGTATCACCGTTGGATTTTAAGGGTATTATGTGTCTATTTTATTTGTAGTAAAAATCAAATTAGTTCGACAGCAAGCCAAACTGAGCTCAACATGCGAACCTGCAAGCTTTCCATAAATAAAAATCGAAGTGTTGCAGCTTAAGAAAAATGCTCGTACCAGCGGCCACCTGTGCTCCTGGAGGAAAGGGATCTTTGTGGCATTCTCCAATAGATGCATTTCCTCGGGTGCCCGTAGGACAATCACAAGTGAATGAACCATCTGTATTCGTGCACACTCCGTGGCATGGGTATTGTTTACGGTCAAGGCACTCATCAATATCTGCAATAGAACATCCAGTTATTAAACATAACATGTATATGTCCAAAAGCATGCCAAAGGATCATATATATAATTTCTATCTAGTTTATATCCACGAACAGTGTGTGCTGTGCACACATCCGTTTCTCCCGCGCACCTTTTGTTTGTTTTTTCTTAAATTAAGTTGCCTCTCACGCGCAACTACAACCAACACACGTGCACTTACAACAAAAACAAAAACAGTCGCAACTCTGTCTGCTTCCTGAGTTAAAACTTCAGGTATAAGAGCACAATGTGACAGTAAAGTAGTCCATTAGAATAAATATTCTCTACCAACTAGCTGACCTATTGTGGAGAGATAATCATATAGTAGTTCATAGAAAGTCTATAGACATACGGACTACCTATAAGAAATAAAGAAATGTTTATTTTCTCTCCGCCCTCTTTCTTGCTCTCGTGGAGGTGGAGGAGTTGGTTGTATACAAAATTGTTTAATCTTTGGTGGAACTCACCTTATGAACTACTTGTTGGCTGGACATTGTGAGCAAATAATACTAACTATAGACCGCTTATGTGGGAACCAATATACATTACAATCGGCACTTATTTAACTACTTAATTCAATCTCACATCTACCAATCACTTGACACGTATGCATGCATGAAATTTTTTTGTTGTTTAAATTTTTAAAAGCTTGAGTCCGAACCGTTTAAAGATTATTATTGTTGGAAAAAATATACCGAACAAAATGAGATTGAAGAAGGCTATGTTTCGATAAAGTTTTTAAAAATATAGTTACAACATATTATGTGCATAAAGGATTGTGAGATAGTACAACAAAGAGGCTAGGAAAGTGGATTCACCTTGGCAGCCGTTAGGAAGGTATGGGTTGCCCTCGAAACGTTGGTTGCACTTACAGATGTAGCCTCGTCCGCTGGCTGCGTCAGAGCAGAAGCTGTTGATGCTACCGCACGCGTATCCAGGGCTTCCGACTGCTTTCTTGCAGTCGTCGTGCCCGTTGGACCACCGGCGCCTTTCCTCCACGGGAGCTGTTGAATGCCGACGGTGAGTTATTGTTGATGAACTCCGGCGAGGAGATGTTGTTGGAGCTGGAGGTCGACGACGTGAAGTTGGACGAGTCCATGAGCACCGCGAAGCTGCAGGGGCCGAGGCCGCCGCCGCCGTCGATCCCCGACATGTTCAACCGATGGTCGAACCACACCTGGTAATACTGCAGACCCTTGGGGATGGCCGTCTGGCAGCATCCCATTCCGGAGCAAGGGTTTAGGGACATCTTGCCGTCGAAGCACATGGCCACGCACCCGGTCTGGTACATAGCAGCAACGTTGTTCCCTCTGGTGTCGCCGATGTACGCCAGCGCCCGGCACCCAACCACCGTGAACTTGTTGGCCGTGCTGGAGAAACTGTAATTGGCCAAGCTCCAGCTCCACTCGCTGGACACCATCATCCCGGATGCAGCGTCGTAGCAGTACGAAGAGATAGAGTGGAGCACCTTCACTTCACCTTGCTCCAGAGAGATGTTGAGGACCTCCACTACAGCATCTTTTCCTTTAGTACGATGGTTCATGGTAACCAAGAACGGCTTAAGGACGCCGTTACCGGTGTCCTTACACGAGATTTCAAATCCCAGCAGCCAGCAGTGATCAGTTCCCATTCCGAACGGGAAAGGAATGTCTACGCCGCCGCATGATCTTTGGCACTCCGCACCACCAATCTCACTCTCCCCGGCGGCGAGCCATGGCACCACGACCGCCGCACCTAGCCACACTAGTCCTGCAGCTAATACTGTGTGGGATGTCATGACCGACGACGACGCTAACAAGCCTTCTTGACCTTGTGATGGATTGGGAGCTCTCTCTCTCTAGATCTTGAGCTTGTGATGGCTGAAGGCGAACATGAAAGCTTTGAAATGTGTAAATCGCCGGTCGCCACGCCAACCTCTGGGATTTCTGGCCTTCTGGGCGACAGATAAATTTTATTTTTGGGCAGAGGGTGAATCACCACTGGCTGTCCCCTGCAGGCGCCACAATCACTCGGTGCCCTGTAAAAAAGAGGCACGAACACCCAGCAAAAGGGCAAAAGATGAGAGGCCCAAGCCAGGAATCTCTCGTGGTTGACGACGGTGCAAGATCGAGCGGGTTAATTAATTAATAATTAGCGTTAACCATGGAGACAAAACAGATCGATCAATATATGGTGGCAGAAAAATACAAACTAAACCTGCTTGCTTTGATAACTTGATCACAGAAAATAGAGTTCGGCATAAAAAAAAACCTTGATTACAGCAATCTCTGGTGCCATTATCAAGTTACAAAAGAAACTTGATCAGTAGCAACAGGACACAAGCAAAATCATCACGCCATCAGCTGATTACCAACATAACTAGCAAAATCATCCTTGCTGTCCAGAAAGTCACCATGGCTCGTTCTTTAACCTCCTTTTCCCTGCTACTTCTGTACACACCAAACAAGCTATGAGCAAGCAGAAATATCAAATCTTGCACTTTGGAGCATACAGAGCTACTAGGACAGAGCATCTGCAAACAAGATGGCATTTTGCAAACAAGGAAACAGAGCTGCTGCACCATACAGTCCTGCTGCACCAAATCACACAACTTCTGAAAATTCACTACTTCCTGTATGTGCTACCAGCATGTTGCAAATTCAGAGGCTGATTGAAAACACTAGTTCCTGTATGTATGTGCTACCATTTTAGAACATTCAGATACAGCCACATGAGCAACTATTTTCTCTATTAAACAAGGTTTTCTGGAATAAACACAGACATGTTTTCTAGAATAAACACAGATAGATTAGTAAATCTTGTTGCAGATAGAGTGTTTCATTCCGATGAAAATATAATTCCACATATGCTCCATTCTGAATGTGCCCAGAATGCAACCTTCATATCTGAGCATCACGTCTCTTGCCTCTGCGGCTCCATGAGCAAGGAATGACCACGAGGATGAAGAACACCGCCGCAGCATCCTTATGTCCTGCACGGCCGCGCCGCCGCCGCCGCAGCCTTCGTGAGTCGTGCATCTTAGGAGGAGGCGGAGGGAGGTCCGCCGGCCACCGGCGAGGACGACGCTCCGTCCGCTAGGCGAGCACGAGGGTGAAGGCCGGGGTCCGTCGGTGACGAGGCGGAGGGAGCTGCGGACGCCGGCGCAGACGATGCGGAGGGAGGCCTGGCCACCGGCGAGGATGACGCGCGTCCGCGTCCGTCCGCAAGGCGAGGACGAGGCGGATGAGGAAGGGCGGGGTCGTCGGGGACGAGGCAGGTCCGTCCGTGCGGGGAAGGGCGGGGCTTCCGTCCGGACGAGGCGCGAACGAAGCGAACTCGCCACAAAGGCTTTGATCTCGCCACAAAGGCGATGAAAATATTATATGCATAGTATTTCAGACTTACAGGACTTTATACCTATATAGTTATTTTTTCTTCTAATTTAGATATTAGAATTTTAGAACATTACCTAAGAAATTTTTAAGTTGGATGAGAAATGAAAACAAATATATTACTTTTTTAATCTACATTGTTTCTCGATAATTATTATACATCTACAAATATATTACTTAATCTACATTATTCCTCGATAATTATTAGACATGTTAAATTAAAAATATGTTATTGAATTTATTTTCATTTTGCAAGTAAAATTAGCGTCTATATATTATAAGATTTTATACATGGTGAAGAAATGCCGTTGCGACGAGATCGTCAGAGGGCCCTTAAAATTCTAGGACCGGCACTGCCTCCGACCTCCACACAGGCGTACCACAAGCCAAGAGACATGTTGCATAACACAACTCACGCCATGATTAGTTCACAAACTCAACCTAAAATACGAATCACGTTGACAATCACTTTACTTATCACAAATCCCAACCACAAAGGCACGTGCACAAATTCGAAGTTGACAGTTTGATCGCAATCTGCATGTCTGGATGCACCAGCTGGTAGATACTTGGTGCCCTATACACTGACATGCAATTGCCTCGAGTCGCTGCAAGCTTCACGTGTGACTGCATCGGATGCAGATACCATGCCAGTGAGGACACTGGCGCCTTGTTTAGATGCCATCCAAATTCTAAGTTTTTTCACTCTCTTTCTATCACATCAATTTTTAGCTATTTGTATGGAGTATTAAATGTAGGTAAAAAAATAACCAATTATATAGTTTAGTTGAAAATCACGAGATGAATCTTTTGAGTCTAGTTGGTCTACGATTGGACAATATTTACCAAATAAGACGAAAGTGGTTACTATTCATCGAGTTCACTTTTTTTTCAAAGTAAACGAGGTCTGGGTTGCTTTAACAAATGAACATTAGGGTGCCAAGTGTATTATATTGTCACTGCGCTGACACGAGGACATGGCATGCGGTTATGTCAGACCGGCTGAACTATTTTACTTTGTCGCGCGCGGTCTGGCAATGGTGGGTGTAATGCAAATCAATCACATTCAGATTCATGGCCAGCCGGTGACAGAAAATTCAGTTGAGAGTGATCAATACTCAAGCGCCTTGTTTAGTTCCAACCCAAATTCCAAAAAGTTGCTACAGTACCTGTCACATTGAATGTTTGCGGCCCGTACATGGAGCGTTAAATGTAGACGAAAAGAAAAACTAATTACACAGTTTGGTGGGAAATTATGAGACGAACGTTTTGAGCCTAATTTGTCCATGTTTGAACACTATTTGCCAAATAAAAACGAAGGTGCTACAGTAGCCCCAAAATCCAAATTTCGCGAACTAAACAAGGGCTCCCTAGTTAGGCCCTTGTTTAGATTGCCTCAAAGTTCCAAATTTTTTCACTCTCTCTCTATCACATCAATTTTTGAATGTATGTGGAGCATTAAATGTAGGTAAAAAAGTAACTAATTGCATAGTTTTGTTGTAAATCACGAGACAAATCTTTTGAGCCTAGTTAGTCCATGATCGAACAAAGTTTATCAAATACAAACAAAACGTGCTACAGTGTCCAGATTGCAAAAAATTGTAATCTACACGAGGCCTAGCAAATGTTGTGAAAAAAAACTATACTGTGCAGTGGCCACCGGAAACAACCAACGGAGAGCACATGGCCTTTCAAATTAAAGCTAAATGAGAACTACCTGCGGAGATACAAGATGATGTGCTAGCTAGTGCAGCAGGGTTTCGATGACGATATACTACAACGGAAAAACAAAGCAAACTCCCAGCTCATGCAAGGAGGTCCCAAAACTTGTTCCGCTGTTTTCCTACAAATAATGAATTTCTGAGATTTTAGTTAGTCCTGTCATTAAAAAAAAAGTACAAAATTTGTTTCACCTCGCCCGTCGACCACCGCCCTCCGAGCAGTGCCGGCCCTTGGGGTAGGGCACGAGGTGCGATGGCCGACGGCCCAAACGGAGGAGGGGTCCAAGGTCAGGTATACAAACCCCAGGTTCTTTAATTTATTAGGCATTAGCAAACTAATGAGAAGAGATATAGAACTAGCCAGGCGGTCCAAAAAGACAACATCCGTATTTCTTTCCTAGTTTTCTTTCTCCACAGCCCTCGGATAGAGAGCAGGCGAGGTGTCACGCTGCACACAGCACACTCTGATCGTGAGTTCGCGACGTGCGCCTTACACACGCGGAGATGACGAGCCGTGCCGCCGTGAAGAGCTAGACTACCGGAGACACGGACACGGCGCACGAGGATGGCGACCAGGCAGGGCTCCACGACGACGACATCTTATTCTTGGCTTCTTACGAATTGCGATCACCGATCAGTTGTTTAGGCCCAAGGTATTTTTTCCTTTTTATTTTTAATCCAAATTAATTATTTGTATAGTATTCTAGACTTCTAGTACTTTGTACCCATATAGTCATATTTTTCTTCTAATTTAGATGTTAGAATTTTAGAATGTTACCTAAGAAATATTTGTCATGGGTGAGAAAAGAAAATGAATATATTGTTTTTTTAATCTACATTGTTCCTCGATAATTATCATACATCTATAAATATATTGCTTAATCTACATTGTTCCTCAATAATTATTAGACATGTTAAATTAAAAATATGTTATTGAATTTGCTTTCGTTTTGTAAGTAAAATTAGCGTCTATATATTATAAGATTTTATACATGGTCAAGAAAGGCCGTTGCGACGAGATCGTTAGATGGCCCTTAAAATTCTACGAGCGGCACTGCCTCGGAGCTCCACACAGGCGTACCACAAGCCAAGAGATATGTTGCATAACCCAACTCACACCATGATTAGTTCACAAACTCAACCCAAAATGCGAATCACGTTGACAATCGCTTATCACAAATCCGGACCACAAGGGCACAAGCACAAGTTCGAAGTTGACAGTTTGATCGCAATCTGCATGTCTCACTTCTACAGAATCAATTTTTAGGGGCGGCTCGTAACCCTTTGTAGGGGCGGTTTGGCCAGCCGCCCCAACCGAACCGTCTCTACAAATCATACATTTGTAGGGGCGGTTCCCAGGCCGCCCCTACAAATCTATTTGTAGGGGCGGCTTGTATTTCCAGCCTCCCCTACAAATCAATTTGTAAGGATACCAGCCGCCCCTACAAATACATGTTTGTAGGTATTGAACCGCCCCTACAGTACGTTTTCCCGCAAAAAAAATTCAAATTTAAAATTTAAAATCGCGTTGCCGAACGCCCCGCGACCAACGTTCCGAACCGCGTTCGCGTTGCCGAACGTCCCGCGACCAGCGTTTCGACCGCGACTACAAGCACAAGAGTATTATATAAACTATAATTACAAGTCCAATTCACAAGAATATATACAATCCATCATTAAATATA